AAGCCGTTACGGAGGTGGGTAGGGAGGGGGCTGCCCTCCGCCTCCGCCCCCGTCCGTCCCTACGGGCACAGAAAAGCCCCGGGGCTCGCCATCGCGTAGCAGCGCTGGACGCACTTACCACCGCGGCTCCGCTTCTCGCTAGCGCCGCCATCTTGTTGTACGGCCACGACCTTTTCTCCTAAGAACTTCCGGGGGAATCAGGCGGGGTGTGCGGGTGAGCAGCCGGGCAGGCGGAAGTGACAACAAACAAACACGCCCCCCTTCACTCCTTACCCTGCTTCTTCGCCGCTCCGCTGTGACGTAATGCGCTGCGGCGCGCAGCGTGACGTAGTCGGCGGGCGGATTTGAAATTGCGAGGAAGGAGTCGGCGCCCTTAACGGTAAAGGCTGGGTTGCTGGGGGGTCCGGGCCCAGGCCCAGCGGCGGGGGGGAGCGTGTCGGTGTGGAAACGCCGCGGGCTGCCCTGTTTGCCTTCGGCACCGTTTAAACGCGCTATTAACGCAAATGGTTGTAGCGGTGCCCAGTTCTGCCGCACTCCCACCATTTTTTTTTTTCCCTTTTTTTTTTCTGCTGACGTGTTGACTTTAGCAAACCCGCTCTTGAACCTGTCATTTGGTATGCTTATGAAAACAATTTACTCTGTCTGCCGCGGATCCCTGGTAAAGTAATGGAAGAATACAGCTTCTTCCCCAGAGAAAATGAGGCCATGGATAAGCTGCCCTATGAAGTGGGCCTAAGCTAAACTTCTGTCATGGTTTGGGAGAAATGGAGCTAGAACTGTGATCGTGATACACAATTTATACTGATAACGTGTTTTGGTAACGTTTGTAACAAAGGTTTTTCAATTAGTTATAATTTAGCCATTTGAGCCCACCCCACAAATAAAATAGATCCTCTGTAGAGGGCAAGAGTTGGCATTTTTTTCAGAGTTAATTCTATTTACATCAAAATCTCACTTAATACCGCTGTGGGGGCAGTTCAATACTTCTGGTTTGATATATATTTTATGTATGTAATGTAAAGATAGCCATAATGTTATCTCAGGATAGGCTTTCCAGTTATTGTGCTATGATACTGTGAGATCGCTTGCAAAATCAATAAGCAGGCTCAGAATTAGTGGCTAAGGAACACATGGGTGGCTGAAGTGCTAGAAACAGCAGTCATGTTAGTGTGGCCTTCCTCTCAGCTGATTGGAATGAAAAACTTCTTAAGCTGTTTTGCTTTTGGAACCTGTAGGTTAGAAATGACCAGATATAAATGAAGGCCATATAGTAGGTTTGGAACAAGCACTGGCACTTTCATCAGTAAAATGCTTAATTTGAAAGGTTGTGCCTCCAGCTATGTGGTTCTGGAGTCTAACATACACCATTTTTTTTCTTTTTTCTTTTTTTTTTTTATTAAGAGAACCCAATATTTCTGTAAACTGTTACACTGGTTGGTCCAAAATACAGTTCTGCTTGCTTATTCTGACCCTTTAGAAAGTCTTTGTGGTGTTTAAAAGAAGAAAATACTGAGAGATTGTGATTTACAGTTTAGTCACAATGAGACGAAGCTCAAGTATTGCAGGAAGCACTGGTCGGCAATCTATGATGGCACTGAGAGTGCAGGACAACAACAAAATGGGTCTTCAAACACCTCAGACGTAAGTGTTGCTGATCATCTTGCTATGAATAGGTATATAAAACAAACTCTGAAGGGGTTTACTGTGTATTTGAGTGTGTGAGTAGCAACTGGAAAAAAAAAAAAATGGGAGCAGTGAGAAGAAAACTCCCTGTAGCCAAGGTTATTTGCAGAACTGCTCCAGTTCTGCAGAAAACTTTCTTTAGTCTATTTGTATACCTGTGACATTTCAAATTGTAACAGTTTTTCTTACATATTTCTTAGGAGGTGGCTGGGGGTGTGTGTGTATAAAATGTATGCTTACAAATCTTCTTGCAGAAGTAGTTTTGATAACGGACAAATAATGCATTAAAATCAGTTGACTTTTCTCAGGTGTTGCTATGCTGAAGATGCTTAAGCTTATGTGCATGTATTTATAGTTTTCTTACACAAGCAAAAAATGAAATGGTAGAAATAGTCACTTGAATCCTTCTCCCTATCCTCCAGGAAGGACAGAGGTACATTTGGGAAGCTGAGCATGAGCAAGCCTACACCTGGAACTTCGGAAAGAAAAGTCAGCTTTTTTGGGAAGAGGTATCAATAGCTTTAGATGTCTGTACTGCAAATTAAAACAGTAACAGTCCCACATCATTTTGTAATTTTTCTTTCTTGACAGATTTTCATTATAGGGAATAATGTCTGCCTCCTTCAGGTCTGCCTTCCTCCGCTCTTTGATCACTAAACAATATTGCTGTGGAGCAGGAATTGCTTTGAGAGCTGTTCATCCTTTTGGGAATGATAGGCACTGCAGACCTTAAGAGCTCCACAATATATTTGCCTGTTTAAGGAAGAACAATGTCTCCAGTACATTACGCCTTAGTTTCTTCTCTCTAAGATGCAAACCTTGCAAAATTCTATAATCTTTCAGCTTAGTTCATGGCTTTTTATGTTCTGATGTCTTGCAGGTATCTTCTTTCACAGGACCCCACTGTTGCAGAGAGCTATGCCTTTTAAATATTCCTTAAATATTTTAGTCTTATTTTCAGTCACCTGCATCATTTTGTTCCTTCATCTTTGGGTTATTTTTCTGCTCTATAAAACTTCATTTCTTTCAATAAACTAAAGAAATTATGCATCTCGGATGCATCTGTTGTATGTGTGCATCATGGCTTTCAGGCTGATGTTGTTTTTCCAATCATCCTAGATAAAGAGAAGCCTTCAGGCATTCTTTTGCATAAGAAATGCAAAAGAAACCTAAAAATAGCAATTGTAGTGACTTAAATATTAAGAGCTCTTCTTTACATGTATTGTCACAAGAACTATATTTGGGTTTTTTGTTCTTAGAACTAGCGGGGCTGGAGGTTCACGCAACAGCCAGTATGGTGTGTTTGGTACAGAGAAGATCAAGGATCCCAGGCCACTTCATGACAAGGCATTCATCCAGCAATGTATCAAGCAGCTTTGTGAGGTAACTTAGTAACTTATTCTAAATGTACGTTATTGGGCATAAAAGATACTAATCAAAATATTTGTTTTTCATGGTTTCAACTTTAGATTTTATTTAGCGACTAATATGCCATGGGTTTTTTTTCTCAGTTTCTTGGTGCGAATGGTCAGAACCCTAATGTTTCCGTGAAATCACTACAGTCTCCATCAGTTAAGGACTTTTTAAAAATCTTCACTTTTATTTATGGATTTCTCTGCCCTTCTTATGAACTGCCTGACTCAAAATTTGAAGAGGAAATTCCCAGAGTTTTTAAAGAGCTTGGGTAAGATCATTATTGCTAGTCTCTTGTGCTAAATAGATAAGATACAGCTAGAAATTTAAAAGCTAAGAATTCTGTGTGATAGCTGGGAAGAATAGATAGGCTTCTTTATTCAGATGAGACTCTGAAAATACAATGTTGTGATTATTTTGTTTCATTTTTTTTAGCTCTAAGTTTACTCTCTGATTCTCAGACTCTACATTTTATATTTGAACTTGCAGAACTATAGGCTCTTGGAAGCTTGCTTTGTACAGTAAAATCTCATTATCTTTATTTGTGTTAAACTTTGAAAGACAGACACAGTTTTTTTGATAGACTATTCTGGTTCGTCCTGTTAAAATCCAAGAACTAAAAAAAATATTTCAGAATGTCAGATCCAGTTCACTTAGTTAAAAGTAATTTTTCCTGTAATTTCTCTCATTCTGTTTTCAAAGCAGGGGGTGGAAATAACAAAAATGACTGCTGAGGTTAAAAAAAAAAAAAAAACCAACCAAGCAGCTGGGTGGTTTATTTGTAATTTTGTTCAGTAAGTGTTTGGAATCATTAATGCACCAACACTTTCCAAGAAAGAAAATCCTCTGCTTGTTGATAATGGTGACTTCTCAGTCTCATTAAAAAAAAAAAGTGACGTATATTTTACTTCTGAAATTTGAGCCCATGATGGCATGAAAGTGCCAAGGCTCGTTAGATGTAGGTATAAGTCTGTTCTATTCACTCCTCAGTATTTTAATAAAACGTTGTTTTAACCTATAACATTTGAAACTGCAGACCTAGCTGAAATGTTGAAAAGGCAGTTGCTCCCAAGAGGCTTTACTCTGCTGCACCGTGTAATCCTAGATAAAAAGTTCTTTTGAGAACTTGCTTTAAATTGTCTTTTGGGAGTTAGAAAATGGGCCTAAATAATTCATTTTTAAAAATTCTTAGGCTGAATGGTTCACGAGCGCTTATTTAGAACTGTCAGTTTATCAGTAGCTTCTTGCCCTATATTGTTAAAATAACTTTGGGCAGCTGTCAGTCAGATGGACTAAAATCTGCACTTCTGTGTTCCTTGATGTGTAGAACATTTTGAGAGGATGCCTGTAATGAGAAGTATAGCCTTTGTGTGTTCCATATTTATAGGTAATATTAATAATTTGATATGCAACTGTTCTGAAATTATTTTCTGTAATTGCCTGACAACAAGCTGATTGTCAGCTGCTTTTCTGTTTTCAAAGTGCATTTGACATAAGAAGCAAGAATCTTGCCCTCAAAGAACAGGACTCCTGTGTTTCAGTTTGTTTTCATGTGTTAGGGAATCTTTCAGGCTTGCACACCCAGTTTGGAAGTCTAAACATCATCCACTGGACTATTACTCCTCGCATTTCTTGCCTTTCCTTTGAGGTCTTTGTCTCATCATAAATCACCTCATGCTCAAAGGGCACCCACTTCTTTTTCCTTACAGTGCCCATCTCTCCTCCCATAGTAGCTTCAGAAGACGACAGATCTAGCTGCTACCAAGACCAAAGCAACACGCTAAGCTGAATAGAAGGGGGCTAAGGAGCATGTGATGGAACAGTTTACACTTTTTTTTTTTTTGTACAAGGCCTTAATTGTTCCTAATCTTTGGATACGCAAAAAAAAAGTCCATTTCTTCAATGATTTATTCAATAGCTAGCCGGTCAAGGGAGCTGATTCTGCCACTCTGCACTGGTGTGGCCCCACCTCAAGTAATGTGTGCAGTTTTGGGCGCCCCATTATAAGAAGGACATCAAACTATTAGAGCGTGTCCAGAGGAGGGTGACCAAGATGGTGAAAGATCTCAAGGGCAAGAGTTACAAGGAGTGGCTGAGGTCACACTTGGTTTGCTCAG